AAAAGTAACAATTATTGTTTCTAAAGCAAAATCAAATCGACAATCCTAAGTGGACAAGAAGCAGATTTTCAGCTTAAACTTTTGTTACTTCTGATATTTATAATATAAATCACGATTTCTTTGGAAAACACTCTTAATAGCAGACTGCGGTTCGAGAAGTCTGCCAGTCGTCCTGCTTCCTGTGGACTAAGCACGAGCAGTGTGCACGTTTTGAAGAGTAATAAAGTTATCAAATTTGTGGGTCATCCAGAATGTTGTGCTCGCCATTGAAGGCACATGAAATGTGACTAAAACTGAGTTGTTAGAGCTGCTGTTGCTTATACTGGAAAGTGGTCTCCGCCTTTGTCTAGTGATGAACCGCATCACAAAAAAATCACATCACCACAACGTTCACAGCGAGACAGTTTAGCTGCTGCTGCCACCTCGATGGCCATCAAGCTACCGATCCCCACTAGCTTAGCTAGCTGTTGTTCGGCCAAAGGGCTTTTAACATCACAAGTCGAAGTGCAATAATTGATTATAGTTTGAAAATATATGCTGCCCAGTGCCAAGTTCGCAAGCCACATTTAATAACAAGATTAAGTTAAAATCTACATTAAATGATTGGGAACTTAGCTTCTGAACAGGCGGATATAAAATTAATAATAGTTAGCTGAATTCTGCATTTTCTTTTAAAGTTCTTTCCATTGCAATGCATTGTTTGGTTTATTATTTCCGAATGTACCGGAACGGTTGTCAATTCTGTAATAATTCTGGTGCTTAAGAAGACTCATAAAAAAGGCATAACTTAAAACATTTGTTTTGCTTATTAATTTAATGTGATTTGTCTATGTCATAATAATTATTAAAATATTAAATCATGTTGTCTAATTTATCAATATTAAAATCGATGTTTTCCCCATTTCGGTGTACAAATGTATATTGGGGATATCATCAATTTGGACACCGTCTCCCCATGCTAGTGGCACCCCAAGCTAAATGCGCCGCATGCTGCCTATAAATGAATTCTCATTTGATTTATTAGAAGCCTAATAGCTACAACATACACAAGTGTTTAAGAATCTTAATGTAATACTTTAAAATACCTTTAGCACCCACAAATATGCCCACAAGACTAATGCATTAGAGGAGTAGTGTGCTACGAAATAACATTATAGCGCCCGCATTCCAATGAAAGCGCCATCGGGGCAGCTGCACCGCACCGCCAGCCAAAGCAACAACATGTACAATCTGACAATAACAACAACAACCACAAGAAGGAGAAGCGCGATCGCATACAAGTCAAAGAAATTTGCTGTTAATTCACGTATTAACCTCTTGACATTTGGCAGCAGCCGCAACCGCAGCAGCTCCGATCGACCAACCAAAAACAAGTCGACAAAAATTCCAACAACACAGCACAGAACACAAACACTGAAGCACACGAACAACCGAACACACGAACATTCAAGTATTCTGGCAGAGGCAAGCGAATCGGCTCGCTGGGGCACATCTGCCCGGCCCCAGACTCCGATCACAAACAGAAAACTTCCACAAAACTGTGTCAATGGGCCAGCAACGGGGCGTTGTGTGTTTGTGTGATGATGCTGGTCTCGTGTGGGAGGACCAAGTATGTGCGCATGTGCAGCCACGCCAATGCACACTGGGCCCGAAATCAAAGCTTTTCAATTGAAAATTCACTTCTAAATGTAGTATTCTGGTAATTATTAAATCTTTTTGAAAAAATTGTTCAATTTAAACAATAAATTGATAACTTGTGTTTGAACTACTTGGTACTACGTGTTAAATTCTTGGAAGTCATTAGTTGTAGAATTTTTTATTTTTAAATTTGATCTATATTAAAACTTCGAAATTATGGTTTTTGAATTTTGTTGAAAATATTGAATATTTTAGTACAAGTACATGTTTTTTATTTCAATTCCGTTTTTAAAAATAGTATTCTGGTAATTATTAAATCTTTTTGAAATAATTTTTCAAATGAATCAATAAATTGATAGTATGTATTTGAATATCATTAGTTGTAGATTTTTTTATTTTTAAATGTTATCTATATTTAAGCTTAACTATTCGAAATTATGGTTTTCGAATGTTGTTAAAATTATTGAATATTTTAGTACTCCCTAAAAGGTGTATAAATGTTTTTTATTTCAATTCCGTTTTTAAAATAATAATATCTGTTTAAAATACTGTTTTAATTTTCTTGGCACTGGGAATATTATTTAAAAAAAATATTATATTTATAATTGCTATTATTTTAAATTGTTTTGAAAACTCCTTTTTTTTGTGCTTAAAACGATTGCATTGCTGGTTGGCAGATCTTGAAGATAATAAATACTCGTAATCGCACAAATTGTTTATAAAATATAGACTAAATAAGCGTTAATGTTACTTGAATAATTTACGCTTATAAAATATAGTATATACAAGTAAAAGTATTTGGACATGAATTTAAAAAGCCTTATTAGTACAAAGTTCATAAACTTTTCATTACCTACTTAATATTGTATGTACCCTCGAACTTGTTCATTATTATCGAATGAACTATTTCTTAGACAACTCATATTCCTCTAAAAAGAAATACATTTTATTATAATTATCCACTATTCTATTAAACTTTCTTTTTAGTCGTTGAGTAGTAGGTTCAAATTCCTAAATTCAAAATCAGTGCAAAGTTATATAATAATTTAACGATGGAATTAATATAATTATAAAGTATAAGGAAATATATATAAGTTCACAAGCAGCTTTTACTGATTACTACTGACAATTCTCAAATATGCATTATACTTATTAAAAATGTCATTTTTGAGAATAACCACAAGAATCTGATCTCTTCCAAATTGACATAAATACCAAAAAATATTAATGGATCAAATAAATATATCTATATTAGCATTGTAAGGTATGCGAAAATATTTCTGTATACTAAGTTAATTCAACCCCACAAATTTTCGATGCATTTTTTAAGAAGGAAAAATAAACAACTCTCTCAATTAGGGAACAACAAATTTATCAAAATATTGTCATCATATATGTATGTACATACATTTGAATCGAAAAGGACATTTATATACACTTTGCATAAAAGGACAATTGTTTGATGTTGAAAAAAAAAAAAAAAAAAACAAATTGTGACACAGTGTGCAGCGTATAATAGCCGTACTAGACGGCTACAAGCTGTGACTGTGACTGTGGCTGCAACTCAATGACTTTCAATTAAATCAATATTCATCGTTTTGGCTGCCTCGGGCAAAATGGCAACAGGCGGCAGCCAAAATTGTTCGCCCTCCTTCAGCGCCTTTGCCTAATGTCTAATGTCGCTGGCCAAACATTGATTAGACGCGACGGCAATGGAGTTTACCAGCGACGACGAATACGACGATGTTGCAGCTAAGGCAGCAATAGCAACAGCAGCAACAACAACAACAACAACAGCAACAGCAAGAGAAATAACAACAACTCGTCCAACGTGCGCGCCATGGGAAAATGTGCAATTTTAGCCAAAAATAAATAAGCAAGGCACTGTGGCAGCCACTGAGGCAGAGGTAGAGGTAGAGGCAGAGACAGAGGCAGTCGTTGCGCAAATTTGTGGACTGTGCCTGCCGAAAGTCTCCAAGTTTCCGTTCGCCTGGCTGGCCTGCCAACAGCAACCGCAATCAAAGATACACCAAAAATAAACATTTGAACTACTAGCCTGTGCAGCGCCTGCGCCTTTCACAAACAAAACGAACAAAATACCAACAAAAACAGCAACAACAGCAACAACAACAACAGCAGCAGCAGCAACTGTACAAAATAAAATAAAATTCGCGCGAATAATTAATGTTTGGCAATAATCGAAGACACCTTCAGTGGCAGTCATTCGTGCTGCCTGCCACCACCGCTGCAATAACCGTGCAACAAGTGCGCCCGATGGCCATGCAAATGAGGCATTTGCCGTTATGGCCACGGGAGGCGTTGACTCTGTGTTTATTTTTACGCCAGGGCAGTCGTAAATGTTTATGGGCTGGTAAGTCTTTTCAAATGCACATTTTGCTTAATTTTTTTTTTTCATTTTTCTCTTACGTTTGCCATTTTGATTTGAGATTTCTACCGGTGTGCAGGATTGCCAAACTTGCGAGCTACAAAAAATGAAGCTACGGGCAGATATTATTATTTGCTCACAATTTTGTCCAATTTTTCAGTTAATTCAATCAAAAGCCTTTCCATTTCTATACAAAATAAAATTGCATCTTTAAAAATCTACTTTAGAATTTACTTTTTATAATATAGATCTAACCATATCTTTGATGTCAGTCTGCCCTTTCGAATGCTATTAGTCAATTAGTTTAAAATATTTAATTGAACACAATGGGTTTAAGAGTTTTTAATGTACATACTGTGAATTAAAGAAACCTACAATGGTTCAGCGCCATATGGCAAGATTTTCTGTTCATTCACCAGATTTATCAATACTGTATTTTTTTGCATCAAACAAATTGTCTTTAAAAAAGCACTGGACGAAAAACAACAGTTTTCGAAATTTCGAAAAAACGTATCATATCTTCTGTTGTCACCAACATTCCATTATATTGACATATTAAATGATATATTAAGCCGAAACGATATATGAACAACCTATAAATTCGCCCAAATCTTCTTATTATGTTATTATTAAGGGTTTTATTTGCAACCTGTAATTTCTTAATGTCTTTTGTTATGCCATTAATGTAAAATGAATTAAGTTAAAATAATTCAATTTAAAAGTATCAATTTTTCGTTTATCGTGTATCGATTTTAAAGAAATGTCATGCTAAGGAGAGCTTTATTTTCACGTCATGATACAAATTCAAACACTCTATGGTTCCAGAATCATAGTTGTATTTTCTTGTGGAATAAAATTGACTGTTTTTAACAAGAATTCATCCACATCAACATGCCAATATTTCGTATTATATTTCATCAAAAGTTCAAATGAGTTGTGTGCGAAATATTTGCCCGTCTGAACATAGCTTTATAATTTAAGATTGGTTGTGAACGGATTTCCATAAACACTCGCATATGAATAATAGTAGTGCCAACAGCATGCCCGCCGCCCAAAAAACACACATAAAATAATAATATTCCAAGCTATTCGAGTCCACCTCCAAATTACGCGTCTTGATGAATTGCAGGTCCCCGCTCTGAATGCCATGCTCATAACAATCGCTCTTAATCTTGAGTAGGAGGCCTCCCTCAAATATGCGTCGCACATACCAGTTGAAAAGCTGAATGTAGGGAATGTCATAAGCCATGGGTATATAGAAGGGTTGCTGATAAATAGCCACCGGCATTTTGCGCATTAATGGGATTCGCAGAAACTTCTGCTGATAGAATGCAAAGTCAATGCGATCCTCGAAGCCGGTATGCAGAACACTTGTATTCAGGCCTCGACGATACACATCCACCATTTCCTCTGGTATAGTGACCATTCGCTTGGCCAACTCCGGATGCAGATCCGGAATAGCCAGCTTAAACTTCATATCACCCGCATATTGAACCAATTGTAGATTTGTGTCCGCCAAGTCATCAAAACTATTGAGCTGTCGCTCATACAGGCCCGTTGCCAGCATGCTGGAGAGTAAGGCCAAATAGAGGTTAGTGAACACAAAACCCGCTAAGATGAACATTATGTGCACGAAGAGACGACGTGCCCCAGGTAGTTTTTCCATGTGCGTGCCTGGTGGCAAGAACAGGGTATATCGAAGGATTTGAAGGAATGCAGAGCTACGACTTAATCGCCCACGATGCAAGAAATTCCAAGCATGGCTGCAATAGACGATCATCGTCAAGAAGATCAACCAGGTATGCATCGAATAAGGTTTGATCAGATACATATACTTGGGCAGGGGGCGTGCTACTGGTGCCATTACGAATAGATTCTCCATCCAGAGGACAACACTGCCCGTAAAGTTTTCTGTACGGGCGAGAAGAAATGGCAGAAAATCGACATCTCTTCTTCCTAGGGCTGCGGTAGCATCCTCGATTCTATATACATACTTCATGCTGGCGCTTCCATTATAGTGGCGTATAAAATCGAGCAGCATCCTTAGCATATATCCTGCGTAGACAACGTTGCCCTTACGATTCCTAAAGATGAAGGCAAATGGTGCCGAGTGGGACAATATGGCGATGTTGATGGTGTAGCCTTGCAAATTGCACAGCTCTTTACGGGTGCGATCGTAAAACTGCTGCACGTCCTCTAGTGGTAATAAATGCACATTTGGATAGGGCAGGAAGCTGTAGAGCTTCTCCTGATAAGGCAGCACAGCTAGTATTTGAACCATGCCTTGACGCCAGCAAACTTTAAAGAGCGCCATTAGTTCATCGGAACTAGCCTTGGGATAGATAAAAATCACATTCCGGTATTGCTCCTCCCACGACCATTTGCCCAGAAAGTCCACAATTAGGGCCAAATTTTTCCCATCCTTCAAATAAACGATTGTTAAGGTTTTTTCGCTGAAGTTACCCCGCAAAACCGATTGCGGTTCCAGTGAATGCAACCAGAGTGTAGGAACGCTTCCTGTTGCAATTGCATTTAGGTTTCGGGAACTATTATATAAGTCCAAATGGACATTGAGTTCCATGCGATACAGCTCATTGAGTTGGTCAATACAATGATATAAATAGAGACTCGGTAAAAGCGACGCGCTCTGCAGAGTGTTGAGGTAGAGTAAAGCCATTTTTGTGAAACTCACTACTGAGGTATGTTCCACTGTTTTTATAGCCAGCACTTTTCATTCAATTTCCCATGCCACACATCAACTTAAGTACATTAGGCCGTCAGGGGCGTGCTTCATTAATGTGTTCACATAGACCACGTGTTAAAGGTTACGAGGGTCGTCTCTAAAGTACCGCAACGAAATTTTCCTTTTGCGGACATTTTCTATGCCCTGTTTATAGTGAGAATCTTAGTTGTCTTTAAATAAGATATCAAACGCAACCTTTCCACCATTGTTGTTGGTGGTTGTTTATTTTTTTCTCTAGTCTGATTTTGAAGATTAGAAACGATTTTATCTCGATTTTCTTCAATCAATTGCTGCAATAAGCTCTCTTCTGATAACAATCAATGAGAATTTTGCCACCAGCCTACCTTACCTGCAGTTAGAACTGACTCAATTTTCTTTAAAACAGATTCGTATCTCACATTTTAAAGTGCTTTGGGTGTCGGCTTGTTTCCTTCACCATTTTAGAACTAGTCATCACATTTAGTCAAACATTACAATATTTATTTTGGCAACTCGTACAACCTCCTTTTAGTTCTACCAACCAATATTTTAATCTTGTTAACCAACAAGCAGACTCCTTCACAGTTTCAATGAAAGCATGATCTAATGCGACTCCACATGATTAACAAAACTCATATTTTTATTTCTCACTGAAAACATTTACTACCGATAAATAATAAGCAACGTAGGGCTGTTGAGCTGTAAGCTTAATATTTGAATACTTGTGGGACTACCCTCGCATATAGTATTAAGCCATCAAAAGTGTGCTTTAACATTTGTTTAGTGCTTCATAAGTTATCATTTAAAATACAATAGTAAAATTAGGCATTACTGGCCGCTTTGTTGTACCATTCACATAATTTAATGTTGCCCAAAACTAGTCCTTTGCTGCTTCCACCTTCTCCACCTCTCCATCAAATGCTCTCCGATGAAGACCACAAAACCCAATACCCAACCACTCGCCAATAGGGTGTAGGCGAAATAATAAAATTCCGTATCAAATGTTTGAACTTCCATTGTCTTGGTGATTCGAAAAGAAATTTCTCCGCTTAGGATGCCCTCCTCAAAAGAGTCTGTGTACATTTTTCTAAAGATTCCGGACTCCCAAATACTCCTCAAATAGAAATTGAAGAGTTCCAAATACGGAAGAGCTAATGCCGCGGGCACAAAAAAGGGCATCACATACGTAACCTCATCAATCATCTGTAAAATAGGTACCCGTAAAAACTTTTGCTGATAGAGAACAAAATCTACTCTATCTTTATAGCCCATATGCAAGTAGTTGGCATTGAGTCGAAGGCGTTCTGTGGTCAGCTTTTCAACTGTTACCGTCGTGGCATGGGAAAGTATTTGAGGATGGATGCCAGACCTATTTTTCATTATCTCGATATCTAGGTAATCCAATATAAGAGGTAGTTGAGTGAAAGACAGATCATCTAATGAGTTCATCTGCCGCTCATATAAGCCAGATGTTAGCATACTTAAAAGTAATGCCAAGTAAAGATTGGTCAACATGAACCCAAAGAGGGTCATGGTTAAAAAAATTAACACCTGTCTCCAGCCTTTGCTGTAGTGATAAGTATGAGAATTTGAAAGAAAGCACAGAAACTGCAGCACCTCCAGGAATGTAGCTGCAATGCTATAACCAGGCTGCCTATGGCGATATATCCAGTTAATAAGTATTGTATTGTAGATCATGGAGAAGATGATTATCGTCCAAAGTACGACATCGAATGGTCGCAGGAAGTAATAGGCCTTGGGAAGGCGTGCTGCATGAGGCACTATTACATAAGTGTTCAAGTTATAAAGTGTCGTGCTTGGAATATAATACCTCCACCCAAACGGCGGGATCACACGGGACGCAAAATGGATTCGTCGTTCGAGACAAGCTTCAAGGGCCAGATCATATGGTATGGGATTCAATCCATCAAAGATTCCCCGCTCCGTGCCATTATAAAATTTGATAAATGTATGCAAAATGTTGTACATGTAACCGGCGTAGACGAGCTGTCCCCGACGATCGGTGTAATTAAAGCAACGTGGCGAGACGGTCTCACGAGTAATAAAGACATCCAAGCCTTCTAGATTCTTCAGTTTTGTCAAATAATGATATTCCTCCAAACTCTGAATTTGTGTTAACCTTATAGTGGGATATGGCTGATATGTATAAAGGTTATCTCCATGAAGCACCAACACATGCAGGAATCCATTGTGGAGTGCACGTTCAAAGAGGGTCTCCAGCACAGAATCCTCTTCTGTTGGGAGAATGAAAAGCAGAGGCAAATGATGCAGTTGCCAGAGCACTTTCACGACCTCACTCAGGGTCTGGTTTAATGTTGATTCCTTTAAGTAGACTATAGTCAGAGCACGTTCCGTAAAGGTTCCCAGTAGTTTTAAATTCATCGCATTGCTGCCTCCAAGCAACATATTTGGCACATCCGTATGCAGCAATTTTTTAGTGAGGGATAGATGGTCACGATCCCAATCCATATATATGTTTAATGTCAGATTCAAGTCCCAATTGAGTTGACTGATGACCTCATTATCCAGCCACTTTCTTCTGCCGCTGGCATCAGTTAAATATATAACTATCAAGGGCACTAGTAATAATCTCCAAGAACCCATTATTGCTTACGACTTCACACGCAAAGAGCTATGGGCCTAGAATTTGAGATACAATTGGCTTTTATAGCTAGGATTGACCGCCGAAATCTTTATCACAATAACAATTACATAGAACGCACAATCACAGCATGTTAGTGTTAAGAGTCGTGCGCGGGAGTTGCAAGTCGATTGTTTTTATCAGCAATCTGTTCAACAGTCTAGTAATTGTTTGTTGCCCGTTGTAACGTGACCAGCTAAGTCGACGACAGATTTTGTTTATAAGATTGTTCGTATGCAAACTGGTGTCAAGCTAATACTTATTGTAACGTTGCTCTGACCCGGGTATATTCGCCGGCCAGAGTTGCTTAAAAATTAGATATTTGGGCCCACAAAGTAAAACAAAGTTGAATTAACATTCAAGTTTCAGTGGCGCTGGGAAAAATATCAAAATATATTTTGAAATATCAAGCGACCCTATGCCGTCGCGGCTGAACTTAGACTAACTACATTTTAAACATACTATCTACTTATCCTACTTAAAATTGCTTCTCGATATCGCGTTCTAGTAACGACACCCTCGGGTGTGTCACAGAAATCTCTAGAGATTTCCGCTATCTCTAAATAAAAATCTGTCGGTGCCAGAGAACATCGAAAAATTAAATTTTTTCGAATTTCCCCTTTAAGTCAGTACCTAACTAAACCTGGCAGTTCCATATTTATTTCTTTTCTTCTTTGCAATTTTAGTAAATTAGCTATTTTAGCAAAATTAGCAATTTTAGTAAATTAGCTACATAAATTAATATATAACTCTTAAGAACCATCAATATAAATAAAATAAAGTTATTTTTCGTCAAGCAATGCAATTTACATAATAAAATGTGTTGTTTGAAAAATGAATAATAGTTTCTGAAACTTCCTCTTCTGCTAAACCCAACAATATTTTTATAAAAAAATTTATATAATTAAGGATTACAGATTTTGTAATTTTGTATAATTATCGGAAATGCAATCAAAATAACAACAATATTATTTCGAATTATATTCGAAAAAAAGACGATAGATAAAGCTTTCAAATGTTATTATAAATATATCTTAGAATTTGGTTAATGTCATTAAATTATGGAATGAAAATTACATAAATTTTCATTAAATAAATGACACTTATAGTAAGTATATTAAGAATTGTTATAACTTTTCTAACTCTTTCAATTGTTATTTATTGAATTAATTAAATCTTAGGCTGGATATCTTTAGTTTCCAAACGTGAATATGTAGTGTATGGCTTTTACTTTTGACGTTCGATTTTTCGTTCGAAATGGTAGTTCAATAATGAAGTGGGCAAATATTACAAGGTTATATTAAAGTATTCACTATTCTGTTAGATCATTCATAAAAAATTTTGGTCGATATAAGTATTTTAAATAAAAACATTGAGGTGTTAGAGTTGTCTTAAAAATGGTTTGTTTTGGCGCACGTATGTACGTTCAAAATGCTTTAGTTGTTATAACTAAACAATAAAATTAGAAATGTTCAGCAAATTATTTATTTTTTTAGAATAACCAGAGTTCCATAAATAAACTTATATATATACATATAAAATCTCCTCCAAAACTCTACCTGTTTCAAATGTCATTTTATGTGTTAACTGACTCAAGAGTTGGAATTTCATGTCTGGTCAGCCTGATCGGCTTAGGTCTTTAGTTTCCAAATGGGATTTATTTAATTCGGCTGACCAAGCTCTGCAACATTTTCTATGAGTTATAATGAAAGGGTCAATGGGGTGCATAGTATATTCGTACTTTTCCTCAAATGTTATATCTATCAACTAGATAAATAAATATGTTGATAAGCCAATCTTGACGTCCACCGCCGCAGCTTGTACAACTTGGTGCTTGACCTTTATGTCATAAACGGCTCTTTTACCCAAACATTTGTTCACCATTTGTTGTCGAGATTTTTATCACCCATAGCAATTACACTTAGCAAACAATCACAACTCGGTGGAAGTGGTGGATGTCGTTTTTGCTGAAGTCGTGCGAGGGAGTTGCAGTCCGTTCAATCAACTTTCGTTATCGGCAATCTTTCTAACAACCGCGTAATTGTTTGCTGTATGTTTCAGCGTGACCATGGATAAATATCATAGATATTGTTAATAAAATTATTTATAGATTGCATGGCAAATATTGTCATACCATAAGCTCTGTAAATGACAGGCAATGGGCGCTAAGTGGACTCGCAATGATGTAAGAAGTTATGTCAGTTGGGTGGTGTACTGATTGAAATTTAGAGATAGGTTCATGTCGTGAAAACAAAAGGGCAACAAATGAATATGCTACTGCTAATATAGGCCCAGTAAAAAATTATTTTGTATACGACACGCATGTGAAGAAAACTAACAGTTTTTCGGAAGAAATTTAAATAAAAATTGCAAAACAAAGAAGTTGCATAAAGAACATAGTATATTTGCTAAGTAAATGCTTTTATAAACTTGCAACAACATCTCTTTTCATTTTATGAAATTTAATAAATAAATTATGCTACAAATATGCACAAACACTTCAAGTGTCCCTAAAATAGATCAGTTGGAAAAAAATGTATTTGAATTTTTAAATCTGTTTCCAGCTATTTAGAATATCTGTTTCATTACTTTCGGTAAGAAACGTTAGCTTCTTCCACAAATATATTAAATTAAATTATATCAAAACACTACATACATATAAATACAAATATTATACTTCATATATTAAACAAAAGCCATTGTAATAAGAAAAAATTTTTAAATCGAACTTTTGCAAATATTTTCTACTTCAAAAAAAAAAAGAAGAAAAATAGTATACAATAATTTTCAATTCTTAATTTTATAATCTTTATTTAAAGAGTTCTTGGTCATTTCTCTTGGTTATAACTAGTGTTTTATGTTTTGTTTTCTGCAGTTAGGGACATTTTTTCAAAACGAACTAATGTACATTTATGAAAAATTTGCCTTAACTCGTTTATTTTAAGCGAGCATTGAAATATAATTGAAATTGTAAGTGCCCTCCCATTTATTTTTCAACTGATCTAAGTACATAGCCGAGAATAAGGCAAATTGTACTTTAGTTCAGCATACACAAACACAAGATATTAATAATAATTATTTTTATTTCTAACCTTGAGAAATGAGATGGACTGAAGAACATCTCCGAATATGTGTACATACATATACTTGTAGTATATTTAATAAACTTTTTCTTGACAGCATATTTGCATTTAAAACTCGCAATTATCGACCACTCCAGATATCACTCGCAAGGTCATGTGAAGAGACATTCTCGCATATATGGCAGAATAATTAATTGTGATGGCTTGCAATTCACGTTCACTTCAGTGGCTTCCACTTGCGCTGCAGCCGAACGGAATCGGCGGAATCGTCTTTAATTGCCATCCCATAAAGTTTAACTGCCCACATTTCGAATTAACCGCCCACCCACACAGTCGATTCAAAACCTGTGCCAACTCGCCACTTAACTGACCTTGCGCCGATTTTTTGCAGTTATATGTACAAAACTCAAAACAATTGCCAAGTAATTTGCAATTTTTCCGCCACAAAAATTATAAATTAAGTACTAATTACATAAATGTGCAGCGTTACAAACAAACGGACAAACACAAGCAAACATACACGGGCAATAATACTATACTGTACTATATGTATGTATGTATGTATGTATGTGGTTGTAGAGATATATCGGCAGCTGCGGAGCAAATCAAACGACGCCGCCGAAAGCTGTGCTCGAGGTAGCCACGCCCTAATGGCAATGCGTGGGCGTGGGCAGCGGCAAACGCTAATGAACAAAACTATTGAGTGGCATTTGAAATGCATGGATGGAACGTTTGATAGTTGCAGTTTGTTGTTGTTACTGCAATTGTTGTTGTTGTTGTTGTTGTTGTTGGAAGTGTGCATGCCAAGCGTCTTGAATGGGTGATAAATTATTTCCCGCCATTTACATAAATGCTACGAATACATTAATTGAAGTCAAAATGCGCTTGGCTTACACTCCACCACTGCCCCTTCTTCTTCTTCTCACTCACCACCCTCTTAGCAATTGAAAGAAACAAACAACCATACGAACAGATAGATAAACAGTCCGACAGACGGACAGACAGACAAACAGACAGACAGAGGCAAATGTTGGCCATGCGCATGCGTTGCAGTTGTCGATCTAATCAATTGAAGTTTATTGTTATTTCTGCTAACTACGGCAGCATTCGCAACTCTACACACTTGGCCAGGCCCAGCAACAAGCAGCTAGGAGCTAACCATAGACATGCCTTATACGAGTGTGCACGTCCATAATTGTATCTACGAGTATGTATCTGTATCTTTTGCATGCACACAATATATTCGATATTTAAGTGGCTGCCGCCTAATTGTTCATAAAAGTCAACAGTCAATAGCTCTTTATGTTTGCGTTTCAAATTTATATTTATTTATTTTCAAATACAATGCCTCTTGTTTTTGTCTTAATACCCCCTTCCCCCCATTATTGTTGTTGTACGAGCATGTATTTGTTTTGCGCGTAGATTTGTGCGCTTCATATTTTTGCAAGACATTTTTGCAGTAGCTGCCTTCGAGCTGAGCTGTTGATTTGAATTCAAGGTCTGCCATTCTTTACAATTAGTGACAGAATTTATGAGCGATTTCAATTTCAAGTCTTTATGTCTGTCTATATACAAGTATATATTTGTGGCATTTGTTCTTGTTGTTGCCAATCATGAGCTGTTGTTTTTGTTGCTATTATTTTTACTGGTGCTGGCAGTGGGGTAACGAGTTTCGCGGTAGCTCAACAAAAAGCATTTGGGTGTCATGTGGGGGTTAAGGTGGGTGGGTTGGAGCCAAATAGAATTTCTAACCCGACTCGCAAATTGTTTTTAAATGTTCATCAAATGTTTTGTAATGCGGAAAGTTTTCCACAGGAACATGCTCTAAGTTCTATTTATTAGAATAAATATCCTCTGAAACACCTCCAAGGAAGAGTTAT